TGACCCCAGAATCTTTGCAGGACTTTATAACTACCCTATCAACGTCAGCGATCATGTTCGAATAGTTTGTATAATAAGTAATGATTTATATTCGAGCAGTTTTGGGATATACGTTACTAGCAAACGTAATGCGACAGTGAACATTCTTTAGTTTCTTTCCATTGTCTGGGATTAGGATGTCTCATGATTATATTCAACTCAGGCATCCACTTGTGGCTTCCATTTAATAACCAAGAGTTTTAGCTAATCAACTGTGATGGCAGAGACCTTGTCTCTTTAATCGTGGATCTTTTCTGCCGCAAGGTGGTACTTTATCGATTAGCTACTGAAATCAGCAACCAGTTTCAGATGCGGTCGTTGCATAAGTATGCCTTTTCAGCGGGGTGCTGGGAGTTTTAGGCAGGCCATCCGTTGTTCGCCAAGACAAAAATCTCACAATACTCTGGCATAAAAGATCTGGAACATTTATAAAACTCCATTTTTAATTTGGAAAAATCTCGAGATCATTACCAATCAAATGGTTCCACACTGTGGTCATTCTGGAACTGTTTCTTCTGTAAATTCTTCATTATACACTGTGGTAATTTTGGAACTGTTTCTTTTGCAAATTCGTCATTATCCACTGTGGTCATTCTGGAACTTCTGGACACTGTAGTCATTCTGGAACTTCTGGACACTGTAGTCATTCTGGAACTTCTGGACACTGTAGTCATTTTGGAACTTCTGGACACTGTAGTCTATAACTTCTGGACACTGTAGTCATTCTGGAACTTCTGGACACTGTAGTCATTCTGGAACTTCTGGACACTGTAGTCATTCTGGAACTTCTGGACACTGTAGTCATTCTGGAACTTCTGGACACTGTAGTCTATAACTTCTGGACACTGTAGTCATTCTGGAACTTCTGGACACTGTAGTCATTCTGGAACTTCATAAACGTGCACGTAGGTCACACGTCTTTTATACACGTAGGTCGTCTGAAGAAGGCGTTTCGTATTCAATACTCAGTCAAAGCGAAGTTAGTTTTTTTTTTAATTCAGCTTATTCAGCTTAATAAATTTTAATGTAGAGATAAATATTACATATCTTTACCAATATAGCTATTCAAATAATAATAAGCATAAAAGGTACACGTTAATAGTAAACACCCTATTCAAGACTTCATCATAAAATCATTTTCAACATGGTCAAATAATTCTATATAATCTATACGGTTAGCATGTAAGGATCCTAACTTTTACTAACGTTTATTTTATTTTAAATCTTTATTATCACTTCTTATTTTCTACTTCCGGCCAGAATTAAAAGCTTTAACTTATTTATGCAAAATTTGTCTTGCTAACGCCAAGTACTTAAGTTGTGGTTTTTTGCCAAGCAAGAAAGAGGGAGGAGTTATTGGAAGCAAGCCGCTTGCCATAGTAGTTTTACGAGTTTTCACTCGGTTGCTGGTTGCCTTCAAGGCCAGAGGTTTAGTCCTCTTGATAATTTCAAACGTATCGTAGTTTTAGCAGCTCAGCGTACTACTATACTGACCTTTGTTAAATAAAGGCCAATCTTAATGCTAGGCACTTGTATACTAATTCAAAGTTAGTTTTAGTTAGAGTTTTAGTTAGTAGTTTTATATTCTTACGTTCAGACCACAAGTGGTTGGTCTCTGTATTCCTAAGTTCCGGAAATACTTGTAAAGATAGAAAAATAAAGGGTTTCGTATACCCTTCCTGTGTGTATTGTCTACTTCACAATTTATTGAACATAGCTTGAGTAAGCTCCCTGTTCCGAGTCAGGACAGTTCATGTTTCCAAAGCAATTCAAGAGGGACACAAGTCCTGATAAGCATTACTAATGGATACTCCAAACAAAAAGAATGAAAATATGTATGGCAGATAGTTTAAAGAAAACTAGCTGTGCATAAACTACATACTAATGAAAACTGAATCAATGTAGTTATATCAAAAACAGCACATCATTACTAAGGGTCTACTCATTATTGATTAGGAATCTCTTTATTGATTAGGAATCATGGTGAAAGTTTTTCTTATGGTATGATGTTCGCAGTTCATCTATATTATATTAAAATGTTGCTATCATCTTTGTTTCTTACAAATATGGAGTTCGTTTTAAACATGTAGAATTTAAGTGGAATTTTATTTCCATTCTAGAGCTTATATGAGTTTGTGTTAGCCTTTTGAGAATCATTGTTCACTAGAGAAGAAAATTCAACTTAAATATTATAAATTCCTTAGAGTGAAAAGATAAAAGGACACTTTGGAGTTATTTTTACTTCATTGTACGAGGCAAAGGAAGCAATGGAGAAAAATTTCGGGCATCATAATTTCAACGAAAGTATCACTTTTGACTGCTTTCGAATCTAGCTGAATGATTTTTTTTTTCTGTGTGTGACATTTCTATGTACGGACAGAATAAAGGACTCTTTCTTCCAAAACATATCGTAAAATCGATTTAAAATAGTGTAGAGACATTAGGATAGTTTGAAAGCAAAAGAGATTGAAAAATATGCAATTGCCTTCGCCAGGAATCAAACCACGGACCTCTGAATACCGGCTCAGTGTGCTGATCGCTACACCAGAAAGCAAGTTAGGAAGGTGGGAAAATACCTTATATACTACCCTCTTTTAAAGGGCGACTGGGTTTTTTAGGGGACCCAGTCGCCAAATTCTCGGTGTGGAGACTCCTCATCCAACACCCTTTTAGTTCGGGCGCCACTGTAGAGACAGTAGGTTAATTGAAAAAGCCGGATAGATGACAAATGAGCAATCGCCTTCGCCGGGAATTGAACCACGGACCTCTGGAATACCGGCCTAGCGTGCAGAACCACTATACCACGAAGACACGCTAGGAAGGCGGGAGAAATAAATAACTTATAATGGATTCAGATGAGATTTTTTCCAGATGCCTGTACCTACGTACGTATGCATGTATCTCGCATAACTCTAAAACGAGTAGCCGCAGAATGTTGACATTTTGTATATGGAACTGCTATAACACGTACTTGTGCACTTTTCATTTTCACTGCAATCGGCTTGATCAATCTTAAATATATATACATGCATATACCCTGCTTGGTAAGCTGAGGATTTTTATTCTTATATGTTCGTAAATTGTGCATTTTTTGCTTTAAATTGACTGAAATATGTTGATCTAATATTTCGGTTAAGGTTTTATTCTTCTAGTTAATCTGTACACAATAGTTGTCGAGTTATCAACAATTTAAAAGTTTAAGTGTCGAGTTAAGCCTAAAATGACCGCCATTTGTTTACATTTGAAATTCTTAATAGAACAGTGAGTTAAGTCAGTTGGCGCACCAAATTCATTGTCTTTTTGCACAGTGAGACCGAAAGTTAATTTTTAGGTTTATGCACTGAAAATTTTGATCTTCTTAACCATTGACCGAATTCCTTGTTTTGGCGTAGAAACTCTAACCTTAACTATATATATATATATATATATTTTTTTTTTTACTGTTTCAGCTGTACTTTATGTTTTTCTGTATTTTACAATTTTGAAATGAAGATGTTTTGAGTTTTTATGAATTCTTGCCTTGCCGCTAAATGAGAACTGAATTGATTGAATGAGAAATATATCTCTAATGAAATTCGAGGAAATAAGTTTAAATGAAATACAGCAAAAACTGTGTATAATAATATAATAGGCCATACAAGGAAGTCATGTGGCGTCCATATCAGATATTTTGTGTGTGGTGAGCGGAAGTGAAAGACAATTACATAATTCTAACAACAACAAAAGCAGCAACAACAATGATTGCAATAAAACTCCTTAAATTTCTGCGAATTCTAATACTTCTCTTAATTTAGTGGCACTATTAAAATAAGAATGTTGTTTAATGAATTTTAAATTGATTTAATAAAGTTATAAAATTAAAAGATAAATTTAATTAATTTTAATTCATTATTGGTGTTTTTTCTTTATGAATTTTAACGGATTACAGTAAGACCCCGCTTAACGCGGGGGATACGTTCCATCAAAGTAGAGCGTAATGCGAAACAGCGCTAAGCGAGACTATCTTAACATGTAAATAATGGGGTTAGGGGAAGACGGATAAAAAATGGTTAGGCATTAAATTTAATAATGTTTTTTAATAAAAATAAAATCAAACATTTATTTCTTACAAAATAAAAAAACAATATAAACGCACATACTTTAAAAACAAATAAATTCTCAGTCAGATCATTCAGTCTATTCTGGGTTTCCCAATTTTCTGCCTTTTTGTTAAGAAGGCATTATGATAGATTGGCTTAATAGCATATTGCGTTCAATTTCGTCGTCAATCCATATAGACAGTCGTTTTTTTCCATTTCCTCTATAATGTTATTTCTAGAACGGGTAATTCTAGTTGCAGAGCTCGACGTAGTTGCAGTTGCCGATGACAGTATTTTTTCTTTATTCTTAAGAATTGTCCTTATTGTTGAAGTTGCCCAAATCAATGCAGCGCTAATTTGAGATTGACGTTCACCAGAATCTAATCTTCTAATCACTTGCATTTGAGTTTCCAGTGAAATGCTTTTTCTGGTTGCTTTCTTTCTTGTTTTTATTATCACCCATGATAAAAAACTAAAGATCATAATATTTGTCACTGTATTAATCGTTATAGTATTATACAAATTTAAACTTACAATAATGTCAACAAATGTTTCAAATGATAAAAATGCGTCCACCAAGCAAGCAAGAAACACAACTACACTGTTTCGGATATGTTATTTGGAAACCTAGCGCTGCGCACAATTTCGGAGAATCCCCGGGTTGAAATAAAAGAGCGCTAAACCGAAACAGCGCTAAACGAAACAGCGTTAAGCGGGGTCTTACTGTACTTGCCTCTCCCCATCTTGTCTGACATTTTTTTATGATCTACATCTCAGTGCTTTACATGCAGAATTTTTCTGTTGTATATTACATGTTCTAAGTAGTAGTTTGTTGTTATTTCTTTGTAAATTTCGGAAAGATAATTGTTTTATTTTTCGCAGACGATTCGGAACTAAGTGTGGTGGTTGTTCTCAAGGCATCTGCCCGACAGACCTGATACGTAAAGCGAGAGGGAGAGTCTATCACGTGGCTTGTTTCACGTGTCTCCTTTGCAGGAAGCAGCCATCTACTGGAGAAGAATTTTATGTCTTGGATGAGACTCGGTTCGTTTGCAAAGACGACTTTAACAGGCAGCAACAGCAGCACGGTAAGGATACAATTTTTCAATTAATTTAATCTATTTACGAAGATATTGCAGTAATTATTTCAATTACCTTTTCTGTAAATTCTAATATAGTAGTTTGAGCTTGAAACAATATCTATTTGTGTTTCAAAGAATGGAAAGTTTTTGATTTTAAAATCTTTGGTGCTGGTTTTTAAAGTGTAATCACTTAACGAAGGGAAATTTTACTTTCTTACATAGTATTGTTTACAGGATGTGAGACATGTTTTAAAATATTTAACTGAGACATGGCATTTTCCCTGAAAATTCTTACGCTGTAGCTTGCTATTGCTTAATAAGGCCGACATCGGTGAATTATAACATTGCATCTTACTCCATTTTGCACAAATTCTGCGAATCAGAAAATTAGGATTTTTTTTTTTAGTTCAAAGAGGCTTTGTCTCTGAGGGACTATTGTTTTAGTTTTGCGATTTTGCGTCGAATCATTCTGAATATCCGGTTCACTTTTCAAACTGTTGCCACCAAATAGTATCGCCCTGTATTATATTTGAAGAAATTAAATAATGAAGAATCTGCATAAATGTATGTATGTTTCTCGCGTTGTGATAAAACAACGGTACCTAGAGCCATCCAGGTTTTGAATGACGTAATCCTACTGCGAATATGAGCATCTGGAAGACAAAATTTGAAATTTTGGAATTTGTTTTATGATCGATTTCGTATTTTGTAAAACTTTAGCGAATTTTTGATTAACAAACTCAAGGATTTCAAAGCGAGCAATGGCAACGTTGTACAGAAAAGAACATTTTTATCTCCAGCGAGTAGACTGTGTATCGGAAATTCTAAAGATATACTCAATTTAAAATTATTTTGCGATATTGCTCTTGAACTGAATTTTATGGATTAAGTGCGAAGAACATGATATTTAATAAATAAGGGTAACACACAAAACGCTAAAAAAAGCCCCTTTGGACTTAATTTAATATTTTTTTTTTCTGTTTTTCTTCTATCAACATTTTTTCCACAATTGCCTTTTGCTGCTGCATGAGTTGTTATGAATTCTTTCTTGTTGAGCTCATTTTTATGATTCTTTAGTAAATCTTCCACTTTTTTATTATTAATTTCCAAACCCATGGTTTTACCTTGAAACATAATACCGTGCATAACAAAAAAAAATGTCCTAAGTGTTTGTGCGCTAGAAGTATCTGCCTGAAATCCAACCTGTCGCAATTTCCTTCACGCAGAATTCATCTTCTTGTAAGTCACTTGCTGCTAGGCTTTGCTGACGAGAATTAATTAAATTATGTTTTCAGAATATCCCGAGTGTTAATTATGTGTCACAAATTACCTCAAAAAACTTCTGAAAATCATATGGTCGAGTGTTCGGAACTCGAGACACTGTTCTTTATCGGAAGTATTTTTTTGTTAAGGGATTACTTTTTCGGGAAACGAATTGTTTGTGAGGTGAGGCACTGGTGATCCTAGGTTCTATTGTGTTATGGTAGCTATTTTTAGTTATAATCTAGATATAACAAAATTATAAAAAAAAGTGTCTGTAACGTTAATTTTAGATACCGGTGTATTAACTGAAAATAGGGTGATTACGAAATTTGTAAAATTCAGTCATCTATTTCATATTTTCTAAGTGAAAGCATTCGTGAGAAATTTTGAGAATAATGATTAATATCAAATTTAGATCGTCCTTGATGAAAGCTTAGGACAATACTGGGCGATTATGACAGACAGGTTATTTTTAGCCCAAAGGGGCTATTAATTTCGATTTGCCATTTTGCATTGGTTCACTATTAATAGTGTTTCAGGTTTCAAATTGTTGCCACCAACTATTAGAGTCCTGCATTATATTTAAAGAAATTAAATAAGGAAAAATCTGCAAGAATGTGCATACATTTCTCACACTGTGGAAAAACAACGCTACATAGAAATACCAAATTTTGAATAACGTAACCCATCCTCTCGAATATGGGCATCTGGAAGCTCAAACTTGCAATTTGTATTATCTATTTCATATTTTGTAAACCTTTAACGAATTTTTAATTAACAAACTCAACGATCTCAAAGCGAGCAATGGCAACACTGCAGGGAGGGAAAAACATTTTTAGCTCTAGCGCGCGAGGCTGTGTATGTCTGCTTGGGCGTAATATAAAATGTGAAAGCTTTCTGATTTTTTTTTAAGAAAATTATCCTGTCACATTTAAGGTGTTTCTCCAAGTACAGTAAATTTAGTTCTTGCAATTTAAACTCATAGTATAATACAACGAATATTTTGAAAAGAGAATCATTAAATATCGTTATAAATAATTATACAATGTAATTAGAGGTTTCACTTTCCAGTTTCGGAAACAAACTGAATGGAATGTAGCTTATCTTCGGTGAATGGTGGCCCTGCTTCATGAAAAGCCTCTTTTTACCCCCCCCCCCTCCCACCAATTATTTGAATCTAGAATGAGAACAAATTGTTCTATGGCTGAGCTCTCGTGTTTGGGAATTAACTCCAATTAATTTTTACTTTTAATTGCCAGACTTAAGTAATTCAACCTGACGACCATCATTTTGGGTGGCAAAAAGGTTTCCTCACACTATGAATTTAACCTGAATAACTGATCTTCCCAGTTTAGATCTACAAAACGTTCTATCAAAATATTAGCCCTCTTGAACTGGAGTTAATTAAAATTCTAATTTCGTGCCGTAACGCGTGTACGTAAAAAAAAATTCTGGCCGGTATGTTGATTAACAATGTCAGCTGCCATACGAGCTGAGGGTCGTATCTTGTTGAACGGAGGGTGTGTGTGTGTGTGTGTGTGATTATGGCAAAGCCTCGAGGGCTATCTGCCTAAGGGGAGGGATGCCTTCGTGGAGGACTTTCTAAGGGCAACTGGCTCGTATACACGTTACACATGGGGAAAACCACGAAAAAGCCCATGCAGCCAGCCCGTTCGCGGGATTCGAACCCTCGGACCGAACTACCAGTGTTCAGCGACTTTACCGCTCGGCCGCTGGTGGGCGTTGAACGGAGGGTTGTATGTCAGTAAATGCATAGTATCTGTTCGATATGGGAGCCATAAAAGCATCGTGGAGTCCAAAGTTGTTCGAGGTTGAATCTCTGTGAACGCAGTGATGTATGTTTGCAAATGCATAATGTCTTTGCCGCATGAAGGCCCTTAAAATATCGCCGAGCCGAGAGTCCCTTCGAGAGTTGATGGTAAAGACAGAAGAAATCATCCCGCGTCAATCGATGCACTTCGGCCAACAGCTGGAGGTACCTTCTCTTTCTTAGTTATGATAAATTCGTGAATCTGGTCTGTATTATATTTAGATCAGGAGGATTAGTTATAACAAAAACATATAAAAATAAATATGTGTTAATTTTGGGTTAAGTGATTCTCATATATGGATGATATTATTTTATTTGAATGTATTTGAAAAGAGAACTTTATTTTTCTTTAAAATCTTACAACAGAGCAGTTTGTTTTATTAATTCTCTTCTGATAAAGAGGTATCGATAAAATAAACTAGTCTCAGCTTGTTTATCCGTTGCTATGGGCTGTGATTATATTAGTGATATCCTCAGCGGTTTTTGCACTCATCGATGCATGAATCACTAGTCCGCCCTCTTTCTCTGACCCTTCTGGAGGGCAGAGAGCCAATTTTCGCAAATCCCCATTTGGGGGCCAATCCCTCCCCTCCTCCCGAAACGCATTTTTTTCTTTTTTTTAATACACGAAAAAAAGTGCTAGAAATTAAAAATAAATAACTGAAAAAAAAATCTGAAATGTTTCAGATTTTAAATTACGTCCAAAGGGGCGTTTTTTAACATTTTGTGTGTTACCTTTCTTTATTAAATATCATGTTCCTCGCACTTAAACCATAAGATCCAGTGCAACAGCAATATCGCAAAATAGTTTTAAAACGAGCCTATCTTTAGAATTTCTGATACAGAGACTCACGCGCTGGAGATAAAAATGTTTTTTCTGCACAACGTTGCCATTGCTCGCTTTGAAATCCTTGAGTTTGTTAATCAAAAATTCGTCAAAGTTTTAAAAAATAGGAAATCGATCATAAAACAAATTTCAAATTTCAAATTTGGTCTTCCACATGCTCATATTCGTTGGAGGATTACGTTATTCAAAATTCGATGACTCTATGTACCGTTGTTTTATCACAATACGAGAAATATACATACATTTATGCAGATTTTTCATTATTTAATTTCTTCAAATATAATGCAGGACTCTAACATTTTGTGGCAACAGTTTGAAAAGTGAACCGACATTTCTGAGTCCGACGCAAAATGCCAAAACGAAACTAATAGTCCTTCGGGATTCAAATCCCTTTGGACTAGTAAGTTTGGAAGCTTCGAGCCATGTGTCAGTTGAAAATATTTTATCCGTCAATGAATGAAATCTTTGTAAATATTTATTGCAAGTTATTATTGATGGAGAAATATCAACACAAACTAAATGTGTTTCTAGTTTTGTTCCAAACGAATGCCATTTTTAAGGTTTATTTTATTAGTTAGCATGTTATTTTTATCTCCTGTCCTATACTTCTGTTTATTCCGTCAGCTGCACCAGAAACGTAACTTAAATTGGGTTAAAACAGAGAGGGAAAATGTCATTAAGAAGAGAGAATTTGGCAATTCAGCCTGAGTATGGTATCTCGAAAAATCCATTTGATGCTTTGCTCTGTTGGTTCCGGTAAATTTTCTGGTTATTTGTTAATATTAATAATTAAAGTTGCACTTAATTAGAAATCAGGTTACTAGGTATTTAATTTACTATTTTATGTATGCTTATTCAAAGCCTCTTGCTAGATATTATTTTTATTTAATTTTGTTATTTATTTGAGGACAAAGGTAAAGGCGAAGCATTTCTGCAGCCTGGGAAGTTTAAGTGATTGTTTAGCTTGCAGAGTCATTGAAGCAGGAGATGTGGAAAATGAGCAATGTCCTCGTCGGGACTCGAACATGGGTCTCTCGAATACGCGCCGAGTGTGCTACCGTTACA